ATAAATTACTGGAACTGGAAGAACCTTAGAAATCTACTTCAACTCCTTCATTTTACAGATAAGAAAATTAAAAACCAGAGACATTACTTGCAAAGGTCTCATAGCTAATTAGTGACAGAGCTAGGTTAGAATCAATATCTTTTGAGTCCTTCCCAGGCCCATGCTCTTCCTAGTACATAATCAAGCCTTTTATAGATTAAAGAAATTCTACACTTATGAATAAATTATATTCTTAAAAATGCATTTATGAATCACTTATAGTTAGAACTGGGAATTAATTTTTGCCCTAAACATAATTTTTAAATTGCACTTAATTCCTAAATTAATCCACAAATACAGGTCCTCTGAGGAACTAATCGTCCTTTACTTCAACAGTCTGCACAATGAGGAGAACACAAGTTAAAGGAAGGGCTATTTTTATGTACAGATCCTTGAACCTCACAGGTTAGGCTCCTGAAATATGTCACTAATGATTCTTGTTACGGTTGAAGATACAAGGTGACCTTCCAATGGGGTATTACTGTGATTCCAGCATAACTTCCTGACTGGCATATTCCAATTACATAAGAATTCTATGTTGGGATTATTCTCCCTCACTTATGATGTCTGCCAGATGTTTTGTAGTTGTAGCCACCCTCAGCTCTGTGCCCACCTAACTCCATAACCTTCCTATAGTAGCTGGAAGGACCTTTTTAAAATATGGAAGATTCAACATTTTCACTGATTTGAATCCAAGCACAATAACCACATCCAGGGGAACTCAATGTTCTTACTAGTTTAAGGCAATCCAGGTCTACCACCAGAGCTGGAAACAGTGTATTTCCCTGAATTTATGGACCATGTTTGAAAAAGGTGAAATGACTAAGAAAACTCTGGGTATTATAAAGAAGGTGCGTAAGGGAAAGGAGTGCTGGGTAACCAATCAACAAATGTCCATTACACTAGCAGATAATGTTCCTTGTTCTATGAATTTCCTTAAAGGCAGAGTCATTTATGGACTTTGCGCAGGAAGTTTACAAACTGACCCCCTCCTCTATGAATCTCCTTCCACCAATGTTATTGTCATACCCCAAGTTTACCAGATTTCCCATGTATAGACTATACTATAGTTACAGAGCAGTTCACCAAAACAATTTTTAATACATACATACATACATACATTAAGGTGGGGCAAAAGTAGGGTTACAGTTGTGATTACACAAAACAGAGTTTATTCGTGCACTGTTATTTATTAATTATTGTATTATTTTACACATGAATTACCATAAGTCCAATTTTACCCTACCCTGTATATATACATACATTCATATGTCTTAGATAAGTATAATTCTATAGCTAAAGACCAGCTGATTTTTAATCAATCATCTTTAATAGAAAAACCATAAAAATCAACATCAAACACAGGCGAACTCAGACATTTGATGGTTGCATTTTACATTAGCATTTTCCACACATACTGATGAAATTCATTAACAAATTTTAATCCCTGCAGGATAGGATAAGCCCCGACAAAGCAGAGTTAAAAGAGAATAAGAAATTGGCATTAAACTTCAAAGAAAAGTAGAAATCTATAAGATGGCACATGATATGGTGATCAGAATTCCCTACAGCCTCCTCCCTTATTGCTACCTCTCCACCAGAAGACACAAAAGATAAACAGGGGAAAAACAGATGGAGTGAAGGAAGACATAAGAAAAAACTCCTTCCTGGATGGCTATAAGAAAAAACGCAAAGTTCTGCATTAATGGCAGAATTTATGAAATGTATTACTTTTATTATCATGCACTAAACACACACACACATACATGCACATGAAGTCTCAGGAGGTAAAACTCCCTACTAAACCCAAAAAGTTATAGGTGCTCCAAATAGCTTATTTGTCAAACATCTGAGAAGCTCCTCAGAAGGCCAGCAGCTGATTGTGAGCAATCCTGACACTCTCCCCAGTGCAGTTATATGGCTTCTCTGTTATCTAGAGAGGGCTCTGTAACATACTGCAGTGAGATAAAACCTTACCAAAGAGTTAAACAGCATCCTCCCTCAGATATGCCACTGTCATTAATACTTTTAAAAATTCTCTTTTTCTAGAGATCTTTGGATTGTGATAAAAATCTAAATAAATTAAGTATGTATATATACCATATTTTGCCATGTATAACATGCACCTGTGTTTTGGGCCCAAACTTTCGGGAAAAACTAAATTTCATTTTATTTTTAATTCAATTTTGTATTTATTTATATTTAAAAACAAAACCAAGTATTCCAGTGTATTATTTTGTATACACATATAGTTATTGCTTTCTAGAGTTACACTTTAACACATAAGCATAAATAAAAGAATTTAAAACACTTATATAGATAGAGAATTATTACAACCCATGTATAATGTACGTCCTTATTTTTCCCTCAAATTTTGGGCAAAAAAGTATGCATTGTACACAGCAAAATACAGTACACATAAACACATGAACACACACATACAGAGAAAGAGAACAGTAATCGCGTTCTAGGGATGTAAGTTATCCTCAGAAAGATGAAAACTAGCCTTTCGTAGCTCTCGTTTCTGTTTCTCTTTTTTTTTTTTTTAATTTTTTTAAATTTTTTTTTAAATTTTATTTAGTTACTTTTCAAGTACATTTTTTTTTTTTTTTTTAGGCATCAGCGCATTGTATCAGATTAGAAGTCCCCATTCAGCAGTGACCACAGCCACCACTGGCTCTGGCTCTATTTTCTCAATTTAGTCACCAGCAAGAGAAGGCTCTTTCCTCTTGACCCAGTTTGAAAAAAAATAAATCTCAGAGGACTGTGCTTGACTCAGCTTGGCCACTTCAATGAGTCAGGGGAGCAAATGCTAGGATTTAGGAGTTGGATATAGAGCTCATTCCCGGGAGAAAAGACGGTAGAGGAGTCCTAGTCTGGGCACAGAACAGGCACTATCTGAATAGAACAGGCACTGCAGTGGGAGCAGCAGTTCTCCAAATGAGGAGGTATACCGTTCCCTAAATAAATGAGTCAATTGCTAGACAAAACATGGAACGCAAACTGTACTTCTAACTCTAAACTACAGCAGCTGTCTGCATACCTGAGAATGCAGGATCTCGGAAAAGTAAAAAGCAGTTGGTTTTAAATATTTGCATGGACTTACCCAGTCTTTACTGAGACTCATCTTAATTACTCATGGTAAACTTGTTTGTCTCTTGTAAGAACACATAAATTAAAGAAAATCAATGCACATAGTGGAAAAATTAGCAGTTCAAAGAAGAGGGTTATCTGTGAACATTTTGGAGTTACTATAAAACATAAAGGAGTAAAGGAAATTGGACCAGTGTCTTTAAAGCTAAGTTGAAAGAATTCTCTCAGAAACATAAAGAAATAAAATAATTATAAAAGGGAGGACATTAGAAAAATAAGGTAGTTCCAGGAAATCAAATAACCAAAGGTTTCTGAAGAAGGGAGGAAAACAGCCTGAAACAATTGAAAAGGAATAATCTTCTCAGACCAAACATTGGTCTGGCTTCTCAGACCAGACTCAAGATTGTTGAAATCAGACTCACAACTAGCCCTTGCATGGTAGAATGAGTAAACTTCAAGGACAAGTAAATCACACAAACATGCAGAAAGATTTTATAAAAATCTTCCAAGGAAGGAAAGATAATTATATTACCCATATACAAGCTTTCTTTTAAGTGATTACAAAAAAACTTCTCCATTCCCAACTACTTATCAAATTCCTACCACATGCTGTTTAGCAGCTGGAGATCTAGCAGTGAACAAAGTAGATACAATCTCTGCCATGAAACTTACTCTCTAGGAGAAATAAATGAAACTTGCATGGACAGAGTGGAGAGAACATGCTGAGACAGATCATCCCCGTCTAGGTGGGCAGTCTGTGGACATTCTAGAAGCTCAACTCCACAAAGTTTTCAGAGACCCAAGCTTCTCCAACCTTAAGACTATACCCTGTGCACACCCTGCCAGGTTCCTCCACACACACCCATTCCCCCCAAATTATCTGGGCACTCCGAGGAATCAGCATTTTAATAAGTGATTCTAATCACCCAGGTGATTCTATTGCAGGTGACGTATCTAACCCACCTGAGAAATGCTGATGTAGGGGAACAGGGAAAAAGATAATAAAGTAACTCCGAAAAAGTTGATGAGAGAAATAAAATTTCTTCTAAGAATCTGCTAGCAAGACCCAAGACTTTGGAGAAGTCTCTTTAATGCTTGGATCTAAGTTTTTGTCATTTGAAAAGTGAGGATTACTGTAGATTTCAAAAATCCCATAACTGTATAATCATGATCTAAACACAACCAGGATGGTTATAAAGATACAGTAATAGATTTTCTTATTGGCAAGTTTTACAGAACCTTTCTGAAACTGCTTACTGTGTGTACTTACAGAAATCTCCCCATGCTCCGGTTTACTACTGTATTAGCGGTGGCAGAGGTGAGGGGACCTACATTTTTGTATTGGGGAAGACGGAATTATGACACCTGCGAAAATGTATGATGCTGACATCACTCCAAGTACGAAGGAAGCATTTTAGAAGCAAAACCAAGGGGTTTGTCAGATGAAATTTTTGCCCAGTATTGAATGCTAACCACTACTCAAGCTCCTTTTTAAGGGCCAGACGGAAAAGTCGAGTTTGCTTGTTTGTTTAAAATGTCAAATTCTCTTAAACCAAAGGCTGGACCCAGACAATCGTGTTTGTGTCTAAACCGCCTTACCAGTTCTGAGCACGGCAACTTGACTCCGCCGCGCCAACAACCGCAAGAGGGAGAATCAGCTTCAGGAAAGCCGAGTGAGGGTGGGAGTCAGTCCCACCCGCCCGCCCCCGCGCAAAACTTTCAGAGCCAGCCACTCTCTCGGCGGCCCAGGGGCCGTGGAGCCGCCGCCGCCGGCGCCTGGCTGCGGCCCGACCTCCGCCGTGCGCCACGTGACCCGACGGCGTAACCAATCAGCGCAGCCGCTGGGATATTCAAATCCGCGGCGCGGACGAAGGTGGTGCGGCGCCCAGCCGCAGCCTGCACCGCGTCCCGAGGGTTACCTTCCCCGGCCATGCACCTCACCTGGCGCTGACAGACCTCCCGGCCCGGTGGGCGGAATGGAGAATCGAAGTGTGCCTCCCGGTCCTTATCGGGCCACTAAGCTGGTAAGACAGCGCAGAACGACGAGAGTAGCCCTCCGACGTGACGGCCGCCATCACTTCTACCTGAGAACGTTCGCGGTTTTATTTGGGGTGGAGGGATGGCTCCCACGGCCTCTTGGTTCTCTGAAAAGGAATTAAGAGGTGTCGCGGAACTTTTGCGGGACGGGTCTGTTACCTTCTCTTGCTTCCGGCGCCCCCGAGGGCGGGTCCTACACGCCCGGTTACAGGGGTCTCCTGGCCCGGTGTGTGTCGGTGTCCCTAGGACGTCCGAGAACCATCCGGCGCCTGATTTTCTGCTTTTCTACATCCACAGAATTCGAGAATTCGAATACGTTCAGTGCTTCGGTAGCGTCAGACTGGGGACAGGCTCGTTTTGCTGGCTCTGTAGAATTTAATGCAGGATGTACCACCTGAATACCACTAGGGAACCATTAATGTCCAAACTAAACCCAGAATATTTGAAGTAGTCACTGGGTTTGTACTCACGCATTTGGGTTTTCCGAGAGGATCCTGTGCCACCGGTTAGGTGACATTAGGAGAGTCAGGTCAGTTCGGTGAGCCTCAGTTTCCACGGTAAAGCAGGGCTGCTAACACATGCCCACCCGCAGAGAGTTCTGGAGGGGATCTGCGTGTGAACGTGTGCTGTGGTGTGTAGAATGAGAAACAACTTATCTAGAGGGTAGGTGGCTCCTCAGGATGTTTCTTAAATAAATTAGTATGTGAAATGTGGAGATGTGGGAGGAAAAGAATACATATATTGTGCTTTTAGCAGTTACATTTGGAGCGGTGATGTTGGGTCCACATGGGTTAGATAAGTGATAACAGCTAGCAGTGGCATGGCTGGGGTTGCAAATCAGATTTCTAGACCTCTAATGCAAGATTTTTCAAATGAAAGGTGTGTTTAGCCTGCACCGCCACCACCACCTTCACACTCACTGTTAGAGCTGTCACAGACCTAAAAGTTTGGGTGATTAGAGGACCGTTTGGAAAATGTAGATTTATCACAGTGTCATTCCACAGTGGACTTAAAACTTTATCCCATCTGTTCTTTGTTCAGTATTGGAATCTTCACATAAGAAATAACTATAGTAAATATGTAAGGTATTTTAATATTAAAGGTATTTTACCAGTGAAGCTACAGCCTGCCATGAGTTTTGTTTGTGGCCAGCATAGTAGTTACAAGTTCAGGGTGCCAGAGTCAATCAAACCTGGGTTTGAACGGCTGATTTCATCATTTAACTGTGTGGTGGTGATCAAATTATTAAATCTCTGTGCTTCATATTCCTCATCTGAAAGTGGGATACTAATATTCATTGAATTCAAATCACCCAAACTTTTAGAATATTAATAATTAGCATACTATTAATATTAGTTGAGATTTTTGAAAAAACAGGAATAAATTATTTCACTATTGAGAACTAAAGGGCAGGTTCAGTGCAGTTCTTCATTATTCCTAGGTTTTCTAAATAGTTTAACCAGCCATAAAATGCTTTTAGTTAAAAAAAACTAACATAAAAATATTATCATAACAGAATTACTAAAAATAAATCAGTATGAGGTATAACATTTTCTGTAGCACAAATAAAATAATTTCTTCATGAAATTTTATGATGTAATTAGATGTAAATGAAAGAATTTTCTTTACCTAATTTCAAATCAGTAAGAGATTTCATCTTTGTTGTCTGCTTATTTATTTGACTATTTTACTTCTTTTGCAGTGGAATGAAGTTACCACATCTTTTCGAGCAGGAATGCCTCTAAGAAAACACAGGCAACACTTTAGAAAATATGGCAATTGTTTTACAGCAGGAGAAGCAGTGGATTGGCTTTATGACCTATTAAGAAATAATAGTAATTTTGGTCCCGAAGTTACAAGGCAACAGACTATCCAGCTATTGAGAAAATTTCTTAAGAATCATGTTATTGAAGATATCAAAGGCAGATGGGGATCAGAAAATCTTTATGACAACAGTCAGCTATTCAGGTACTAAACAAAGAAATAACTGCGAAAAGGAAGTACTTAAAGTCTAACTCCACTTCTATTATACTCTTACTAAAAAGGCAGCTTCTTTAGAAGAAGTAATATTTTCAGTAGGAAACTGTTACTGCTCTTATCTAATTAAAACCATTTAGAAGTTAAAGTTAATAGCTGCATAATTCAAACTGTAAAATGCTAAATAGTATATATATAATAAAATAAGGAATTAGAGGGAAATAGCAAGCTATTAGCACTTCTGCATATTGCGAAAGCTCTACAGCATTCCAAGGACATATCTTTATTTTTTGATTTTTAGAGAGAAAAAAACATCAATTTGTGTTCCATTTATTTATGTATTCATTGGTTGCTTTTTGCATGTGCCCTGATAGGAGATTGAAGCCACAACCTTGGCATATCAGGACAACATTCTAACCAACTGAACTACCTGGCCAGGGCAACAGGTCATCATTAAACCTTTAGTTTTATAGATTCAAGAATTTCAAGACAAATTGTCCCAAGTCCTTTCCTGCAACTAACATGACCTTACTTAATTAAGAATACAAGTGATAAGATGAATAATAGCAAACTTGATATAATAAATAACAGTAGACCATAGGTTAAAGAAAATGTTTATTGTTTACCAGAGGCCCTGTTTTATGATTTATATGTTTTCTTATTTAATTCCTAGAATACCTAAGGAGCATAGGTATTAGTTTCTTTTTACAGATGAGGAAGCTGAAATCATGTTCTAACAAGTCATTTTCCTTTGTCTGAAATATGCTCTTCTACCTTGAAACACCATACTCAGTTGTCAGACTAGTAAATACGTTTCTTCTCATTCATGTCAGCTCTATAGTATGCTCCTCTGTGGAGCCTCTCTGAGTTCCTCGGCATCATTGCTTTTTCTCTCATTCACCCAGGATTCTTTGTTATACAGGGTCTGGTACAAGTAACACCCCTGTTTTTATTACAAATTCTTTTACTACAAAATTGTAAGCATGTTAATTTTGTAACATAATATCACACTCAAGCACACCATATGACATTTTAGATGAAATGTTCAAATTAAAACTATACATTATTACACCGATATTATTAACTTAGCAAACACGCTCAAGCAGGAGTTACTTCTGTCAGACCCTGTATTTCCTTTAAACTAGGTGTTTGGATTCTAATAGCCATGCTTTTTTTCTCTACAGAATTAGTACTTTCCAAATGAGATATCTTAGAAATTGATTCTTCCCTGTGTTTTCAAAGATGACTTAGGCTGTGCTTGTAAACTGCAGTAACAAGCATACAAAGAGTTCCTTTTGTATAACACTAGAAATCTTTCTTAACTACTCCTTAGTCACCTTGATGGGTTCCTTTGTTGCTGCTCATCCTTTAGCTGTTACTGGTTTGCAAGGACTTAGACTTTTCTTCACTTCACCTCTCTCCATGGGTAATCTCATGCTATGTCTCCACCTACTTTTTTCATGACTTTCAAACCTCTAACCCAAATATCTTTCCTGGGCTTTAGACACATTTTTTTTTTTTTTGCTTATTAGATTTTTTTTTTTTTGCCTACACTTCAATTATAGTGTATAGAAAATCAGTATCTTTTCTTAACCAAAATTTTGTCTTCTTATAGTCACCTCTGAATGAATGGCACTAGATTCCTTGTAGATTCTTTGACTCTTTCCCTTCCCTCTCCCCTTTAATTATGACTTAATAATCAGACCATTTCTGTTGTGCTGCCTCAGTAGTTCTCTGATCTCTCCACTAAGAATGTTCTTTTTGTTAGACCATTTCTGCATAACTCTTCAACTAGTCCTTCTGCCTCTAGTTTTTATTACCATAGTAACTATGAAGTACATAAAAGTAAATTTTACCAAAAAACATATAAGACCTTATTGGACAAAATTATAAAATTATATTGAAGGTAGTAATAAGTGGAGAAAGATATCCTCTTCATGAATGAGTAGACTTAATATCATAAATAAGTAACTTCTTCCCAAATTGATAAAATCAGTGCATTTTTATTCAAAACCCCTATATAATTTTTTTAGAATTTGATAAGTCTATTCTAAAATTTATTTAGTAATGTAAGGTCCAAGGCAATTTTGAAGATCAAGAAGAGGAAAATTGCCTTATCCTGATGTCTGGGTTTAAATTAAATTAAAACAAGTATTGAGACTACAAACCTGTACATATATGGGAACTTGGTATAACATATATATGAGTTAAATACCTATGCATGAAAATAAAACATATGAGAGAATATAAGTATTATTTTTAAAATAGAAGAATAAGAACTTTTAAGATTACTAAAAACATATGCATAAATTTAATGTATTAAAAGATACCACTGAGTGAAAAAACACCGAACGCTGTGTTGTTTTTATATGTTCATGTAAAGTAAAAAATTATGAGCAAAAATGAAATACACTAACTATAGGTTAATAATTTCCCTTAGGAAGAAATGGGATAAGCAAAGAATTTCTTTCATTTAAAAAAGAAAATAAAATGAAATTTTTGGTAAAATGTTATTTGCATTGGTTGATGGTTATATATATATAGATGTTTTGTATTACAGTATTCTCTTGCTTGTATCGTTGAACTATTATATATTAAAATGAAAGAGCTTTATAATCAAAAAAAGTACTAAGTTCTGAAAATTGGAACAATTACAGTCAAAGGGCAGAAAATATATACAAATTAGGTAACTTTTGAAGAAAAATTAGAAAATGTAACATTCTAAACCATTTTTATATGTAAGTGATACCTCTCCAACATAAGTGATTCTAATAATAACCCAGAATTATCCAGAATTAAACTCGGAATATTTACAGTATACTAAAGAAAGCAGGAAACTTAAAATAATTTTAAAGGTTTAATGGGAAAATCAATTTATGTAGAATTTCCATTCCTTGATAATGTAAATCAATTTTATGTGATTTTTAAGATAGGTACTAAAAGTTTGTCGTCTCATTTAATTGCATATTATTCTTAAACTAGATTTCCTGCAAATTCTCCACTTAAAACTCTTCCACGAAGACATCCAGAATTGAGAAAAGACAGCATAGAGATCTTTTCCAAAGATAAAGACAGTATTTTTAAATTACGAAACTTATCTCGTAGAACTCCTAAAAAGCATGGATTACAATCCTCTAAGGTAAAACATTTCTTTTCACTAATCATTACTTTAAATATAATTATCACGTGCTTAATAATAGAATCATTAAAAGTAAATGATTCTTTAATATTCAAAGACAGTGTTTGAAACTTTTATTCTGCATTATATTCTAACAATGTATATGTAAATTTGTTTGAAACCCATAGAAACAGTAGTAAAAAACCCATAGAAACATACTTAAAACAGTAATGGTATAATTTAAGCATGTTTTATTTTAAATTGATTTGAGGGTGATAGGGACAGCTATAAAACCAAGAGCTTTTATGTTACATAATTTCTTCAGGTGATACCTTATAACTTCACATGGCCTGATACAAGTCAAATTACTAAGTATCAGGAGTAGTATCAGTTCAGTATTTCCTTATTTTGAGCATAGTATTAAACCAAAGTAATTCTTTTTTTTAGGAAAATAAAGAAAACATGAACTGTGAAATCAATGAAGATCAAGAAAACTCAGTTGGTCAGAGAGAAATAAGCCAGAAAGATGTTGAAGAAGTTTGGAGATATACTATTCTGACCTAGTAAGCTAAAACACAACTACAACTAAGTTCTACGGATGTTTAGAATGTTCAATTGCCATTTTCATCCAGGCGTGAAAATTCAAAAGAACAGTTTAGTTCACAAAGCTTAGAATTTAACCTGTATATGTGTTTCTTAATGTTCTTGCTATAGTTATACTAGAGTAGAAATAGAATATTTTCAGTGCAATTTGCTTTTTTTTAACTTAAGTTATAGCTATAGTTTGTGGTCTATATTGGAATCCTTCAAAAGTTATTAAGATAAATATATTTGATTAAATATATTTGAAAGTCAATACTAAATATTGACTTCGAAGCCTTTGAAGTTTGGTTTCAGATAAAACAAAAATATTCTGATGGTTATGTTTGTTTGCCAAACTCTTTCATATTTATATTCTTTCCAATTTATTTTATGAAGGAAAAATGTTTATATTCTTTCTTCTATTTATTTTTAGCCTGCAAACCATTTTAGGTGTGTCATCCCTGGAAGAAGTCATAAATCCAAAACAAGTAATTCCTCAATATGTAATGTACAACATGACCAATACAAGTAAACATGGAGTAGTTATACTACAAGACAAATCAGGTGGGTATCAGTAGAAGAAGTTGGAATTGTTTTAAACTTGCTAACAAAGGTTGTTATAGCTATTGGGGTGCACAGAGACCACAGTGTAGGAAGCAGAACAGTTTAATAGGGAGAACATCGGGGAGACTATTGCTTTATCACAGGTGCTTTAGCAATTACAGTGGAATATTTTTTAAGTGACTATCATATATAATATTAGTTTAGCTCTTAAAGTGGATTCATAATTTTTTTAAATGGCAGGGTTAGGCATCCAAAAAAAAGTATGCAAATATAATTAAAACTATTTATTAATCACATTGTATTGAAGACCTATAATGTTGCAGGCATTATGCTAAAGTAGAGGAATGGCAGGACTTTCTTGGAGCTCACATGAGTAGTTATATATAAATTTAAAGGGGTCAAGACATATATGCAAAACTGAAATAACACAATAAAAGAAGTGCAGCCTCTCAAGACCAGTATTCTAAAGAGCACCAGTTTTTGTGTGTGTATAACCTTATTTATATATTAATTTATATACATTATATATTAATATATTATATATAATGTATTAACCATTATATAGTCAGATATAAGATAGGATGTCAGGGAAATAAGTCAAGCTAGATATAGTAGAAAACTTAGATTATAAGAAATGTATCAATAAATCTACTTAAATGTTGAGTCATATTTTAATAATCAATTGCTACCTATGGAATTAACATGCATTACTTTGGGGGGGTGTTTTGTGGCAAGAACTTTGAGATTTTAATTGTAGGAATAAATAGAGAATGTCAAAACTTAAGAGTTATGTTGTATATGCTTTTGTTTATGGCCCGTTCTCATGGTTCATTATGTAAAATAATTAACAGGATATGCTGTCATCCACGCTTTCTGTTCTTTATAACCAAAAACTGTTCAAGTCAAGTATATGTGTGGTTTTTATGTTTGTATCAAAAATTGCTAAACAGTATGCAGCATATTTTCATTAGTTGCAATTAAAATAGTTGAAGCAATATTGTGCTTTCACTGTGAAAGCACACATATTCAGATATACTTCGTGTCAATCATAGGTCTTATTAAAATCAGCAGTATTCAGACAGCATAGCTATAGTCAGAAATGAGGATAAAGAAAAGATGATGGTGGTAGATAAAGATGAATGTCAATTTATTTCCTAACCACTCTTCATAAAATAATTAATCCTTGATTTTGGGTAGCTAGTTGTTTTAGTTTTGTGGCAAGAGTCAAACTTAAAGATACATAACTTTTTAAACTTGTATTTTAAATTATTGTCTTGGCCCTCTGTCTTGTTAAGCATGTAATAATTTTTAACCTTGGTCATGCACATATATACCTACATACATGTATATATGCATATATAATTATATATAATGTGTTAAGTTTTAAATATACTATCAAAAATTTGTGAATTTTTGTTTTTACTAAACAGTGTTAATATTTTTTATGTGTAGATGATCTTCCTCATTGGGTATTATCTGCCATGAAGTGCCTAGCAAATTGTAAGTTAAACAATATACACACACATATATATGTGTATATATATATATGTGTGTGTATATATATATGTTTTACATTGATAGTATTTTATAAGAACTGAGAACGTTTTTTAAAATAAAGTCCTGATAAAATTAAAGTACTGTATATAATTTCTTTTGATGTTTAAGTGGAAATTTAGTGGAACTAATTACGTTTCTTTCCATGTGAGTATGCTATAGAGCCCTTTTTCTATGCAGATGGTGATTTTGTAATTCAAGCCCAACATTTATGGCTTGGTTCTCATAACTCATAAAGTCATAGGCTAGAGGATCTTAAGCAGTTTTTAGGTATATTCTATACATCAGTTGCCTTAGTGAAGCCCAAAGAGTTCAAATAAAAACCTATAAATAAAGCAGCTTCTAAATAGAAGGTTTCCATCAGAAACGAAGTCTTGGCCCTGGCCATGTAGCTCAGTTGGTTAGACCATCGTCCACGTACTCCAAGGTTGCGGGTTTGATCTCTAGTCAGGGCACATACAAGAAGCAACTGATGAATGCATAAATTAATGAAACAGCACATTGGTGTTTCTCTGTCCTCCCTTCCCTCCCTCCCTCTTTCTCTAAAAATAAAGTCATTTTTAAAAAGGAGAAGAAAAAGAAGTGAAGTCTCATAAAACCCACTTTATAACCCTTGCCACTGTACCCAGCTTCAACACTCAGGTGCTCCATGACGCGCTTCTACTCTATAGGATATACTAATGGGACTTGTATGGAAAAAAAGGATCCATCGCTAACCATTAGCAAATTATTCTTTAGAATTTTTTCATCAAGGTTTTTTCACAGTAATCATGATAATTGATTTTTATAGTTTAGGACCCTTGTTTGGGTACAAAACCCTAATTGCTTTCAAAATTGGTTTTAAAAATATACACGGGTATGTGATGCTAAATCATGAAAAGTTAATATATTTTAATATTTTGTTACAAAGGTATTTTTCTGTTTTTTATAAAATTAGTGTTTTATTAATGATCAAGATAAGTACATATTCCCTTGTTGTCCACTGGGTGTCAATATGACAAAATAACAGAACAACAAAGTAAATAACGTAAGTTTACAAAGGTTTTATTTATTAAATGGAGTTAAAGATCTTGGTCATACTATTAAGATTTGTGTTTCTCTTTCTACCTTCCCCACCTAAATGCCCTTCACTCTTATATTTTGACCATGGTTTGCAGCTCAGATAAGCATACTTCCAGGGATTTCTCTGATGCCCCATCTTAAGGGATTTGTGTCTTCTCTTTTTTCCCAGTCTACATTATACTTAAGCTATACCCAAGATACAATTTCCTGGATTCCAGTTTAATGACATTATATGTAGCCAAAGAAGTATTAAGACTCTTACTTGTTATTTAATTTCCCACAGTTATCCTGTGACATAAGAATCAGTGATCAATATACTATTACTATTTTTGTTCCTAGAAAGAATACTAAGGTTTAGAAAAGTCTCCCAATATCTAAGGAACTGTGTATTCAAACCTAGAGTCTCTAACTATAAATTTTATATTTTTAATTCCACTATAACATTTTCTGTCTTAGAAAATTTCTAATAATTATCCATTTTTATTCTACATATTAAGACTATTTCTTATCTCCTTCTTAGAAAAATGTTTATTTTGCTTTACATAAAACCCCTATTAGCCTTTAAGGTATTAAATGTTTGTATGTATATGATTTGTTTTCTTTCATCTTTTTTCATTGTGTATATTCACACATGTGGGACATACAGAAGTTTAGAAACAGGAGAGATCATTTGGATTTGGGAAGAGAAAGATTTTAAGTTGAAAGACAGGATACTGACCCTCAGACTTGAATACATACCAGAGTCCCTAGGAAGATTTGCCAAAGATTATTCAGTTGATTCAGCATGTCAGGAACCTTTTTTTAACTATGCCTCAAGATTCTTACAGCAAAGATGCCAAGATCAGTGTTCGGAAACTACTAAATTAGTAAAGCAGAAGCAAACATTTCTACTTCAGTAATACCAAGCTCCACTTCCATAGATTCTGTATAGAGGAGCTTATTATATTTTTAATAGGTGTATTGGACGATTCTGATTATCTAGTTCATGGACCACACTTTAAATGTTATTGGACCTCGAGGTCCTGAGTATTGCTCTGACTTTACACTGCTCTAAGTTCTAATTCTAGCTTTGCCACCACGGCTTTTTCATCTTGAAGCAGGTTACTCTTGAGTTTCAGTTCACTCATCTATAACGTGAGATCAGATCTTATTTCTGAGGAAACACTAATGAGCAGTCACAGTTCTTTTTTTTAAAAGATCTTTATTTATTTATAGACAGAGGGGAAGGGAAGGAGAAAGAGAGTGAGAGAAACATCAATGTGTGATTGCCTGTCACATGCCCCGCCACTGGGGACCTGACCGGCAACCCAATCCAACCGGGTACCCTTCAGCTTGCAGGCCTGGCCAGTGTAGCTCAATCTACTAAGCTACACCAGCCAGGGCAGTCACGGTTATTTCAGTAATGTTAAGTTAATGAAAAAAAAAGTAAAGATATTGTTTAAACTAATTAAGGCTGTACTTCGTATCAGGTAAAATTTATTCATAAAAATATAAATTTGTAAAAGATAATTTGTAGGAATTATTTGCAGTATCCAAATATCCTTTGCTTTACAAAATGAATTGTGCTAAAATTTCATTAAAATAAACTTCCCTGATGCTTTTAAAATATATTTCAAATTTTGTTTTATGTGCAGTTTTTCAGGAATGTAAATATTTTTTAAGTTCTTATTGCTTGCACTATTTCTTCTGAAAAGATAATGAGAGTAAGGTGTACAAATCCCATTAAATCAGGGGTGTCAAACTCATTTTCACATCTGCTTCATCAGCTTCATGGTTGCCTTCAAAGGGCCAAATATGATTTTAACTCCTTAACGTTTAAGGAGTAGTTTCATTTATACAGTCCTAAAATTATTTCGGCCCTTTGAAGGCAACCATGAGGGTGATGTGACTCCCCCGGTGAAAATGAGTGTGATACCCCTGCATTAAGTGTTTGAACTGGGACAGAATTTGTTTTAAACATAGCTCCTTCATGAAATACAGGTTTTATACTTTTTATAGACATATTTAAAAGTGTGCTTAACATTTTTTTTTTTTTTTGCCATTTACTTCTTAGGGCCAAGAAGTAATGATATGACTAATCCCACTTATATTGGATTTGAACGAGATGTATTCAGAACAATTGCAGATTATTTTCTAGATCTCCCTGAACCTCTTCTTACCTTTGAATATTATGAATTATTTGTGAACATTTTGGGTATGTATAGATTTTTGCTTATTTAAATTCATTTTATTAAAGTTTTTAAGTCTCCCATGATTTAAAAGATCAAAAAGTACAAGTAAATATGAAGGTAGCAGGCTATACATTATTTTAAAATTCAGGAATACTCTGGTTGCTGTTGTGTTGTTTTCCAGTAATTCAAACATACCGTTCCATCCGCAGTTCTCCACACTGATTGGGTATCCTACAACTCAATTTATTTTTGACACTACCCAGAGCTAGGCCAGACCCCACAAGTTAAGGACAAAGTCGGATACAAACTGCCCATTGCTACTAGCTTGGATTCCACAGATTAAGGGCTGAGTGCCATAAGACTGCGCTCACTTCAGACACCAGCTACAAATGAGGTTCTCAGGCTTACTCACTCTTTTCCTGCACCTTCCTGCCCCCTACACCTAATTACTCATTCATGGGTTCCCTCCACACCTCTGAGGTTTGATAATTCACTACAGGGACTCACAGAACTCTAGAAAGTGCTTTACTTAATGATCACCAGTTTATTGTAAAGCATGCAAGACAGGAAGAGCCAAATGGAAGGAGATACACAGGGTAGGTAAGCTATGGGCTTCCATGCCCTGTTCAAGTATGCTACCCTCCTAAGCACATCCATGTCTTCCCCAACCTGTAACCTCTTTTAAACGTATTGTTTCAGGGTTTTAACTCAAATTTCCATACATAGTCATGATCCATCAAGTTATTTGCCATTGTTGATCGGATTAGGTCTCAACCCCTCCAGGGATGTCTGAGTTAGGGCTGGAAAGTCCAACCTTCTAAGCAAGGCCAGCCCTAAGTCCCCTCATTAGCGTAAACAGATGTGCTCACACAGGTTCATTATGAATAACAGAAAACTCTTATCAGCCCTGGCTGTGTGGCTCAGTGGGTTGAGCAATGGCCTGCAAAACAAAGGGTTGCTGGTTCGATTCCCAGTCAGGGCACATGCCTGGGTTGTGGGCCAGGAGGGTCAAACATACATTGATGTTTCTCTCCCTCTCTTTCTCCTTCCCTTCCCCTCTCTATAAACACATAAATATTTTTTAAATACTCTTATAACTCCAGAAATTCCAAGCATTTTAGGAGCTCCATGTCGGGTAAGAGAGACAAAGATCAAAAATATATATTTTATTATATTACAGTTATAATTGGAAGCTTTGTAATACTTATAGACTGAATAGATATGTATAATGAATTTGACTCAATCTATTTTATTCAATTCTTGAAATAAATTTTCAAGTTATTGATATCACAGATTGGAAAACCTCTAGTCAGTCTTGCACTTTGTAACTGAATGTTGCATGTGTCCTATTTGAGTGGCTTCTGAATTCAGCAACTGCTTTTTGTACTATACTAACAGTATGTACTATAGTAATGCTTTATTTTGTTAACTTTACTATTTTTTTTTGTTTTATTGTTGTCCACTGTCATACAGTTGCATCTTAATTTTTGTTTCATTCCCTGGTAGTTGTTTGTGGCTACATCACAGTTTCAGATAGACCCAGTGGGATACATAAAATCCAGGATGATCCACAGTCTTCAAAAATCCTTCAGTTTAACAGTTTGAATTCCTTCAAATCGACTGAGTGCCTTCTTCTCAGTCTGCTTCGTAAAGACAAAACCAAAGAAGAATCAGACACAACTGAGAGACTGCAGATAAGCAATCGCGGATTTCAAGAAAAATGTATTAAGAAAATGCAGCTAGTGGATTTAAAAAACAGAAGAGCCAGTGCTAATGACATAATAGGAGGAAGCTGTTATAATTTAATAGGCCTAAGTAGTGTGCATGTTTTATCCTCTAACATCCAACCAAGGTGCTACTCTTTAGAAGGAATTATAGATTTACCAGGGAGTTCAAGTAAAGAGGTCTCCACTGTTTTCCATCAATCTGTATTGAACATAGAAGGACAAAATAATAAACAATTTTTAGAGTCTGAGACCAAACAGGAATCCATAATGCGTCTTCATTCAGAGAAAAGTATTCAAAAGCCACGCAGTGTTGGTTTTAAGAAAACCTCTACTATGACTGTTCAAGATCAAGAGGAGTTATATAATGGGAAAAGCAAGTCAAGACAGCTTTGTAGATCTCAGAGTTTACTTTTAAGAAGTAGTACAAGGAAGAATAGTTATATCAACATGCCAGTGGCTGAAATTATCATGAAACCAAATCTTGGACAAGGCAACACAAGTGTACAAACAGCTGTGGAAGATGAACTCGGAGAGTCTAGTACCACAATCAATAAAAGACTCTGCAAAAGTACAATAGAACTTTCAGAAAATTCTTTGCCTTCAGCCTCTTCTATGTTGACTGGCACACAAAGTAAGGTTGTTGCTTTCCATGCATGTCATACTAACTTTTAGTGTTTACTAACTGTTTTTGCTCACATGGCTTTTCTTCTCTGAAATTGCTTTCTCCACCCCCTTCATACAGAAAGTTCTTACTGTAAAAGACTCTTGGCATGGCATGACCAAGAATTATTTTACTTACCTAAAGCACTTTCTTTTCCTTCAAGTTGACTTATTCTGATTCACTTTATTTGTAGTAAGTATAGGATGTTAATACTCAAATAAGTTGTGAAGAAATTAATGAGAATCTTACCATGCTTTTGAGAAATGTGGGAATTTCTAAGAATAGATTAAATGAAATACTAAAATATTATTTTGTGTTCCTTATATAACCATATGCTGATAGTATGAAAGCAACTAAAGTCACTGATGATATTTTTTGGGGGGTGGGGAACTTTGCCTTCCAGGTTTGCTGCAGCCTCATTTAGAGAGGGTCGCCATCAATGCACTACAGTTATGTTGTTTGTTACTCCCCCCACCAAACCGTAGAAAGCTTCAACTTCTAATGCGCATGATTTCTCGAATAAGTCAAAATGTTGATATGCCCCAACTTCATGATGCAATGGGTACAAGATCACTGGTAAGTTGATTTCTTAAGGAAAGAATAAGCCCTTGTACATAAACCAAAAAAGGAAAACTGAACCATCTAAAAGTACTATTAGAGTGATGTTGTGGTCTTAAAGTCCTAGTTTCTTGGCTTAGAAAGGCTCTTAAAAATCTAACCTTTCCTAGAAACAAAATGTTGTATATTAATCCATCTGGATCTTTATCTTGTCTGAGGACTGTGCCTCTTCACTCATCCTATATCACCACATAGTCAGACCTTATATTGCCCTGGGTCAATTCCGTTTGGTGGGGAAGGAACAGGATATGTAGACACTGTTCAAAGGTAAAGGGCACTAACTCTGAATTAACTAACCACTAACCACAGAATTAATGGAAATGTATGTATAGTGAGAGTGTTTCAGAGATTGTGGTAAGCTTTATTTCATGAATTGTGTGAATTAGGATGACACATCATTGTGGACAAGGAGTTAGAAGAAACTACTATAAAGCGGTCTCATGTTCTATATGAGGATGAGGGCAGAGGTGTTTATGTGCAGAACTGATTGGAAGTGAACTCTTGAGTATAGTATCTCTTTTCTCCTCCTCCTCTTCCTTCTCCTTTCTTCCTCCTTCCTCCCTCCTCCTTCCCCTCTTTCTCTCTCTCTCTCTCAAAAGCTACCTTTTCCTCACAATTCAGCTTCAATTTACAAGAGATTTTTGTAGCCGGGAATTAAGCTCTATTTTTCCTCTTATTAAGGACAGTTCTTTACCAAAACAAACCCAATATAAAGAGGAAGAATTATTCTTAAGTAATTGTAGCACCACATAAAAGCGTAGGGAAGTAACATATTTTGAGAAACATGAGTAAGAAGGATATAAGTTTGGTGTTTACACTTTCTGAGTTCAAGGTTATAGGACATCCAAGAGAAATTTATTGAATATAATGTTGGAAATGTGAGTCCAGTGAAGAAAGGTCAGGGCAGAAGGCAGATTCGGGGGGCAGGTGTTAGTTGGGACCTGAGAGTAAATGAGCTCTGTGAAGCTGAGAAAGCAGAAGAAAAAGCTGAAGACTAAGCTTTGGAAGGAGATAGGAAAACCTGCCTGACGTGCAGGAATAAAACCGAAAATAATTCAGTATGCTTATTATATATTATGTAAAATGCTTAAATAGAATTTTGATAGTCTAATTATTTTAGAATGAGGTAGGTGTGTATGGGTGTTTTACGTAGTTAGTGAGTTATATGGATATGAATGAGAGTAAATGAACTTTGAAACATAAAATTTACCCCCGAGTTTGAAGACTCCTTGTAACCACTAACATTTATGTGTTATATATGCTTCCGGTTTGTGTTTTTGTGGGATTAATTTAATAGTCTCTAATAGTTGCTCTCTAATAGTCTTTAAACAGCATATCAGTATGGTATTAATGAAACCTGTGGCATTTGCTGATGAAATAGTGACAAAATTAAAGAAAAGTCTCTCTTTTATATCCTTTGAAATTATACCAAGGAGCCCTGGCTGGTGTAGCTCAGTGGATTGAGCGCGGGCCTGCGAACCACATGATTGAGGTTCGATTCCCAGTCAGGGCACATGCCTGGGTTGCAGGCCAGTTCCCTGCAAGCCAGTTCCCAGCAGGGGATGCATGAAAGGCAACCATACATTGATGTTTCTCTCCCTCTCTCCTTCCCTTCCCCTCTAAAGATAAATAAATAAACTCTTAAAAAAAAAAGAAAAGAAAAGAAATTATACCAAGGAAATACTTAATACTTCAAAAACAATAATAGACATTCTTACCCCTCTAATATAATAAATTATTTTTCTCATTTTTAAGCTGAGCCTGCTTATCATTTTATCTCAATACTTAAGCATAATGCCACTCAGAAATTACTGATACCCTAATTTACATAAATCTTAGGTTTTTAAATTCCCATCTTTTGACATGTTTTTAGATGCTACACACTTTTTCCCGGTGTGTGCTGTGCTGTGCTGAAGAAGTGGATCTCGATGAACTTCTTGCTGCAAGATTAGTTTCTTTCTTAATGGACCATCATCAGGAAATTCTTCAAGTGCCCTCTTACTTACAGGCTGCTGTGGAGAAGCATCTTGACTACTTTAAAAGGGGCCATGTATGTATTAAGTTCTGAAATTCTCTGCACTTTTCAAGTGGTAAACTCATTTCTAGCCTAGTCAGAAAGGGACACTTGATCAGTTCACATAAATAATCTCTAAAAAGTTACAGACAGAATCTGGGGACTCATATAGCAAAAGGACTGTTTTCATTCCTCCATCTCTTATTTCCAGTTTAGTCCTGTATTTGTCAAATGGCCCTTCACATGACAGAAATATGGCTGATTAAAGCTCTTGAGATACAGACTTAATGTTTGCAATCCAAGGGGGAAAAGGAGCCATCCCTCTACCTCCAGTTTGAAAAGTTCTTAGTATGGACTCTGATTGGCCCAATGTAGATTAAATGTACAACTTTGTTTTTCAAAAAAGGCCAGGATGGGGGAGTTATAATGGGAAGGAACTGTTACAAGGAGAGGAGGAATACTGAACATATACAGCCAGCACATATATTCATGTTTTTTCCACATACACCATTCTAATATTGCCCTGGCTTATAATTATAACTATCCCCTATCATTTCTTTCCCTGAGCAAGAGATGTTATACGCTAAGGCCATGACCCTGCACCTCAAAACAGTAGAAGACTTTAACTGTTACTGTGTTAGAACATTCATGTCTGAAGATGAATTAGAATACCACTTCCGTTTTTATTCTTTTGTAGTTAAAATAATAAGATCCATGATTAATAGTAATGATGATGATAGCTATTGTTATTTAATGCTTTTTGTGTGCTAAGCACTATATACATTATTTCATGTTACCCTGGGACATTTTACAGACCAAGAAAAGTTCAATGATTTATTGAATCAAGACTACTAGTTTGTGTGGAGCTGGAATTTAGACCCTTCTTAAAGTGTTGAGTGTTTGGTGGCAAAATAATAGGTACCAAAACTCATCAAAAGAATACTTTGCCAGGTGCGTACATGACCAGAATTAGTAACTTGGACTATATTATTTTGTTCACTACAGATTAAAAATCTTGGAGATGGACTGATTGTTCCTTTGCCAACATATTCATACTGTAAGCAGATCAGTGCTCAGGAGTTTGAGGAACAAAAAGTTTCTACCTCTCAAGATGCAATTTCTGAACTTTTAGAGAATATTATTAAAAACAAGAATTTGCCTCTAAAGGAGAAAAGGAAAAAACTAAAACAGGTAAGAGAAGGAGCAAGTTCTCATTATGTAAATATTTCCTAATATGTTGTTGCTGAATATTATTTCATAACACTTAGAATTTAATTTCTCATTATAACATTTTGGGTTTTAAATATTGGATATGTAAGCTACCTATGACTACCTGCCTGATTTTACTCTTTACCCTTAAATTTTCATAATAATAACAGGTACAATCCTTTACTTCTGGTGTTCTGTAGGATTACAGTTTGGATTAGAATGGTAAAACAGTCACAAAATTTGAATTATATCACATACCTTTTAGTGACTTATGATTACCATTTAGAAATTTTAGCTCTACATCAAAAATCAATAGCCACATCATTCTGGTAAGTCTAATTTCAGGTCTGAGACACTCCAAGAAATATAAAACATATATACTTGATCTCTTTGACCTCTAGGCTTTACCGGTGGGAAAGGAGAAGATCTGGGATTTGGGGGCAGATTTAGCAGGAGAGAATCCTAGAAGGTTAGTGCTGAGATCTAAGAAACATTACAGGGTACTTTTTATAAATGAGAAAGCAGAGGGAGTGCCAAGCATGAACTGAAAGGATACTCATCTTTATAATGCGTCTTTGAGAAAGGCACTGAATTCTTTTAAAATATTCTGCACTTGCTTCAGCTAGGATAATAATGTTCAGTACCCTCTAAGTCCTCATCTTACTTTTAAGTTTCAGAAGGAATATCCGCTGATATATCAGAAAAGATTTCCAACCACAGAGAGTGAAGCAGCACTTTTTGGTGACAAACCTACCATCAAGCAACCAATGTTAATTTTAAGAAAACCAAAGTAGTATAAGATACGAACTGAATTACAAATTATATTATACTTGTAGTACTTTAGTAAATGAAAACATATCTAAGAATTCCACAACTTTTAAAAAAATAAGTCTGTTTATTAATTAGTTTTTTCTAAATGAAACACATTATATAAGGAGGTGCCAAAATAGTTTTTATTGATGTGAGACTGCTAAGAAACTAGTGGATCCCAACTGAGAGAAAATTACAATAGGTGTTACCAGATATTTTAATCAGAAACAATCATTGGTTTGTTGTACAACTATCTGGAAAAAGCTGTCATGTGTGAACTAAAATTGTATTTACTTGAACTTTGAAAACTGACACGTATTCAGCAAGATTAAGCTATAATTCTGTTTTTGAAAGAAGACATCAGCATGTGTACTTATGTATATTAGCTTAAAGAATTCATTGTTTAGGGTTACTTTTGTGTCTAAGGATAAGAATGTGAAGAATATTTGAAAACTCAGTGAATTTTCAACAGCTAAATATTGCACTCTTGTATATTGTTTGTACTTTTGGTCTATTTATATATGTTTGTGTTTTTTAAGTGTGTATATATAATACTTTGGTTTACTTTAAGAATTTAACGTAACTACTTCATTCTTTTTTTTTCAATGAATATATAAGTATAAGGCAATCATGTGTTCATTCAAAAGATATTTATTTGGCAACAACCTTTCATTATTTTAGTTATGGAGAGACAATGATAAATAACACAAAATCTCTTCCCTAAAAGTATTTATTTTCTAATCATGGGAGATACACCCAACAGATACTTAATAACAATACACCCCCCTGATATCAGGTCAGCTGAAGACTGACCACTGTGACTATGGAACAATTCTCCGGCTATGGTTTTCAAACTGTTGTTTATTAGAATCACCTGAAGAGTTTTTACATACACGCTAAGGCCCTACCTTATACCAATTAAATCCAAATTTTGACAGATGGTATATAGCAGTATTTTCAACCTTTTTCATCTCATGGCATGCGTAACTAATTACTACAATAAAATTCTGCGGCACACCAAAAAAATATATAGTTTGCTGATCTGACAGGAAAAAAAGGTATAATTTTGATTCATTCACACCTGACAGCTATTGTTGTGTTGGCTATTGTCATTTTTTTTAAATTTCACAATCTAAAGGAAGATAAATCAGTGTCCCTAACTAAATAATCAGGTGTTTCATGTTTGGAAAATTCTTGCAGCACGCCCATTGAAAATCACCAGTATGTAGACATCAGTATTTTTCAAACTTTCTCTGTGATTCCAATATTCAACCAGCTTAGAGAATCAGTGCCCAAAACATTTTTTATAAAATAAATGGCAAGATGGTGGCACACTGGCTTTTTTATCAGAAGAAAATACCAGTATAAATGCCTCTTACCCTAATACAGGGTTCTTCTAGTTTAGGTTTGATTGATTTGGCACAAAATTGAAGTCTTTTTTTTCTCCCTTTTACTCCAAGATTGTTTAATACTCATTTCTTAAATATACAGACACACATGATGCCTGGGAGGTGGTAAACACTGTCCAGTGCCAGCTCTGGTTTTTCAGGGTACTGTCACACTATAAAATGATAATGTTCCATTTGAAATTACGGTGTTTCATTAAAAATTTGACATAAAATGATAATTATATTTTGCCCAGAAACCTTAGCTATCAAAGTATTGGACCATATTAGGATTCTTTCCAAGGTGTTTGTGTGTTAAAACTTCTGTTTAAAGGTGTTTAAGAATGTGAATTATGTTGCATGTTGAGAAAAAATTATTATGGGTTTTGTAACAACTTAATTTTGTTTTTATATTTATTGATATTAAATATAACTATTATAAAGACATGGTAAATTTTCATCTGCATTAGTCTTGAGATTACAAAATAAATATGGTATAACACTTTAATAATGTGAACTCTGAAGTCAGTTTTGAATCCTACACAATTTACTATGTAACCTGAGACAAGTTAGTTTCTTTCTATGTCCCAGTTTTCTTATCTGTAAAACAGATGATAATAGTACCTCTCTTTTCAGGATTGCTGTGAGAATTAACTAGAATAATGCATGTGAAGTGTTTTTAGGACAGTGTCTAGTATAGACTAAGTACTCTATAAATATTAAGTTATTAAAATCAGCTAAAATTAAAGTACTATATGAGATCCAGAAAAATACATAGTACTCTCAATTGCTTTGGGTAGAAATGAACCAAAATATAATTGTAAATAGTTGGTTCATTCACAGATAAAGAACAAACATTTCAGAAGTTCATATGGAACCATAAATGACCCCAAATAGCTGCAGCAATTTTGAGAAAGAAAAACAAAGTAGGAGGGATCACAATACCTGATACCAAACTGTATGACAAGGCCACTGTAATCAAAACAGCCTGGTACTGGCATGAAAACAGACATATAGACCAATGGAACAGAACAGAGAGGCCAGAAATAAATCCAAGTCACTATGGTCAATTAATATTTGACAAAGGAGGAAGAAGCATAAAATGGAGTAAAAATAGCCTCTTCAACAAATGGTGTTGTGAGATCTGGACAGGTACATGCAAAAAAATGAAACTCAACCACCAACTTACACCATACACAAAAATAAATTCAGGGTGGATAAAAGACTTAAATATAAGCCGCCACACCATAAAAGTACTAGAGGAAAACATCGGCAGGAAAATCTCAGACATTCCACGCAGCAACATCTTCAGTGATAAGTCACCTAAAGCAAGGGACATAAAGGAAAGAATAAACAAATGGGACCTCATCAAATTAAAAAGCTTTTGCATGGTTAAAGAAAACAGCATTAAAATGAAAAGTGAACCAACTATATGGGAAAACATTTGCCAATGATACCTTGGACAAGGGTTTGATCTCCAAAATATATAAAGAATTCACACAACTCCACTCCAGGCAGACAGCCCAATTAAGGAATGGGCAAAGTCTTGAACAGACACTTTTTCAAAGAGGGCATAAGAGGGCCCAGAGACATAGAAAAAGATGCTCAACATCACTAGCCATCAGAGAGATACAAATTAAAACCACTTCACACCAGTCAGAATGACCATCATAAACAAAGCAACAAATAAGTGTTGGAGAGGATGCAGAGAAAAGGGAACCCTAGTGCACTGTTGGTGGGAATGAAGACTGGTGCAGTCACTGTAGAAAACAGTATGGAATTTCCTCAGAAAACTAAAAATGGATCTACCTTTTGACCCAGCAATTCCACTGCTAGGATTATACTCTAAGAACCCTGACACAACAATCCAAAAGAACCTATGCACCCCAATGTTCATAGCAGCACAATTTACGGTAGTCAAGTGCTGGAAGCAACCTAGGTGCCCATCGGTAAATGAGTGGGTCAAAAAACTATGGTACAATTACACAATGGAATTCTACATAGCAGAGAGAAAGAAAAAGCTCCTACCCTTTGCAACAACATGCATGGAACTGGAAAGCATTATGCTAAATGAAATAAGCCAGGTGGTAAAGGACAAATACCATATGATCTCACCTTTAACTGGAACATAATTAAGAAAAGAAAAAAGCAAACAAAATATAACCAGAGACATTGAAATTAAGGACAATCTAACAATAGCCAGAGGGGAGTAGGGAGGGGATAGTGGAGGGAAGGGTTTTCAGGAACTACTATAAAGGACATGGGGACAAAACCAAGGGGGAGGGTGGAAGCAAGGGAGGGAGGTGGGATTGGCTGGGGTGGGGTGGGGAGTGGTGAGGGGAAAAGGCAGACAACTGTAATTGAACAACAATAAAGTAATTAAATAAAATTACATATGTGGCTCACAAAAAAAAGTTGGTTCAGAGATTTCTTATTAAACCATTTCTTAGTTTAATATGGTCTGATTGTACACTCTGGTTGAAAAATTGATCTACTATAAAGGGAAAATTTGATGAGTCAAGAAAGTGTGTCTCCTTACAATCAATATCCTTGAGTATGTGAAAACATGGAATGCAGCACACAAGTAGAGGGCTTGGCCTTCAACTGGAGATGGCCAGGTTCCATTCCATCAGAAAAAGAGGCAGAGCCGTTAAGCTCAACTATAGAGGGGTCGATTGGTTGCTTTGATGTTGAGTGTTTATAGAAATTCTCTTCTAATTGTTTTTACTTTTCAGCAAATAAGAGTCAAAGTCAACTACTGAGAGGAAAGTGGGATGAGGAGGATATTATTGCATGTTTGAAGAAAAAAGGTGTGAAATAGTCTAGCAAACTTATGGGAATGCACAGGTTACACCAGATCAGATGATATGTTATTGTAACACTTGTGTTTCTGATCCCAGAATAAATTACCATCAAGGATCCCCAATAGCTTCTGCTAATTGTTGTCATATAATGAGCCACCCTTCCTACATACGCAACTCCTCTGACATATGCAGTTGTATGGCGTTTGGTACTGGAGAGTACATGGAATTTTCTATTGACTATCATTCTGTCCTTGGTAAACTTGAACTCTGAGTTTCCTGATCTATAAATATGAGTAATAACATCTACTAACCAAGTTGTTGCAGTAATCTACAGGCAATATATTTAAATTTAGAGTTTAGCAAGCCCATGCTTAATGTCTAAGTTCTTTCCTCTTTTGTTATATTGAGCCTAACAACATCTCTGCTGATTAAAATCCCTTTCCTACCAAATTTCTGTTCTCATATCTCACAATATATTTTCTATTTTATCAATGGTGATATTTTTCATTTCATGTTTGGTAGAATTAATGGTATTTCTGCATTTTATATCCTGATAATTTGCGTATCTCTCTACCAAATGTATCACCCTTTGATTTTGAAGGTAAAGTATGTGTGTGTGTACATGTGTATGCATGTGATGTTATTGTTGAAGTCAAAAATTCCTAGGGAAGAAATGAAGGATTGCCAGATTTGATATTAAACTTAAAATTGACAGAAATAAGATGTCATTTCACCAAAAAATTTAATAGTTCTGAATGTAATAAGGTACAGCAACTAAAAATCTTTTAAAAATTTTTTCCTTATTTAATTATTGTTCAAATACAGTTTTTTGTCTTTTACTAAAAATCTTATTAACTGTTAGATTTTATATTAAATGTTAGCTTTTCTTTTTAATTTAATTTATTTATCTTAAGAGGGGAAAGGAAGGAGAAAGGGAGAGAAATATCAATGTATGGTTGCCTCTCATGTGTCCCCTAATGAGAACTGGCCTGCAACCCAGGCATGTGCCCTGACTGAGAATCGAACCACGATCCTTTGGTTCGCAGGCCCACACTCAATCCACTGAGCTACACCAGCCAGGCCAATATTAACTGTTAGCTTTTACATTAACTAAGAATTTCATTTACTTAGAACTGAAAAAAAAATAGCTATTTTTTTTATTTTCCAAAAAACCTCTCAGAATGCGTACTGAAGAAACACTGAATATCTAAGGGAAGCACAAAAAGTGTTGACTCTTCCTTGTTTTAAGAACAATTTTCGTGTCGAAGCCTAGCCTCAAATACATCACTTGATCTCTGAATTTCCCTTTCTTCCATTAGAAACTGGAAAACCAAAGTATATGAAACAACTGTTTATAGACATTAGACTGAAGATTACGAGGGATTGTGATTCCTGAGAAAAGCAATACTCCTTTGTATTGCTTTCAGACTGTTTCAGTGAGTTTCAGACTGTTCCCAGATTACTGCCTAGAGGCAGTTGCCAGGCCATACTGCAAGGAGGAAAATAAAAATAAAGTCCAGTGTCTCACTGCATTAAACAGCTAAAGATCAGTGTTCAGAATCACTGAGGGAGCTACAAAACAAAACACCTCCAGAGATCTGCAACGTAGGCTAGAGTTTTTTGTCGAGTACTAATTGGCATAAGGTAGGGTGAGGAAGTACTTACTAATCTGCAAGGCTGAGGAAAGAGTGATGGGGGAAAACAAAAAAAACAAATAATTGCTGGACCTCAGAGAGCTGGAAGTAATTCATGTTTCCACCAACCAGCATTGAGAGAGCTTCTAATACTTGAGGCATTGGGTAATATCTTTAGAAGAGCTGAGTTGTGCTTTTGTAGTGGGACCAAATTAGCCCTAAAATAAAAACCGCTGTGCATTCACCCTAAGAAATCATTAAAAATGAGCCTCAAAATGTTCATATGGTAACTTCCTATGATGTGCCAGAACAAAGTTCAATACTTTAAAGAAATACAACAAAATTCAGCATTCAACAAAGTAAAAATCACAATGTTTAGCACCCAATCAAAAATTACCAGACATGAAGAGAAACAAAAAATATAACTCATAACCAGGATTTTTAACAGAGTTATAAAATATATATCCTAGGATATAAAGAAAATCATGAACATAGTGATAGAAATGGAAGAGATAAAAAAGATGTAAATAGAAATCTAGAAATGAAAAATGTAATACCTAAAATGAAAAATATGTGAAATGAAATTTAGAGCAAATTTGATAACAGCAGAAGAAAAGATCTGTGAACTTGAAAACAGCAATAGGAACTATCCAAAATAAAGTATGGAGGCCAAGAAACTGGAGGAAAAAAACTGACCCTCAGTTAGCTATGTGAAAATATGAAACTGGGCAACATGCGCAATAGGAGCCTAGGAATGAGAGAAGAAAAGGAGAGGATATAAAATTTATTGGCCAAAACTAATGGCTGGATTTTTTTCTAAATGTGATAAAGACCATAAATCGATAGAAGCTCAAGTAACCCTTCAACAAAAGAAACATAAAATCTCACCAAGGCAAGTATAATTAAGTTGCTGAAAACAATCGATTAAGAAAAAAACTTAAATGCATCCAGAGAAAAAGCATTTTATACAAAGAAACAAAAATAAGAATTATAGTAGACTTGT